TATATATATATATATGTTCCTTTTTATTTTCTTTTAAATCAAATATTACTTTTTTTTCCTCTCCTTTTCTTTCTTCTCTATTTACTCATGCATAGTGGTAAAAATTATTTTATAATGATAATTTATTTATTTAAAATATATCCCTATTGAATCTTTATAAAATTTATTAAAATAAATTAATAACTAATATTATTTAAAATGAATTTATAAAATTTAACTTTTTTTTTTTTTTAAAGTTATGATTTGACAACGGACCACTTTTGTTGCCGTTGCATACGAAAAGAATTCAATACTAAAAAAGTTCACTTATTGTCGTTTCGTGCATTTAACTTGACCATGTTTATGGACTCTGATTTTTTTTTTTTAAATAAAAAATTAAAAAAATAACAATTGAGTAGAAACAATAATAATTAAAATGAAGGGTAATCATTAAGCTTAATTTTAACAAAAAAATATTTTAATGATTATATAATAAATACATACTAATAACAACATAACTAATTGTAATTTTTGATAGTTCCACTGAGAATACATAATTCAAATTTAAAACATAAACTTTTATGAAAAAAATAAAATTATACAATATCTTAATAACTACACATAAATACATGACATGCAAACTTAATTTGGTCTGACTGAAGTAGGAAACTTCTTTGAAAAGAAATGGTGACCAAATTCACCCAACCACCCTACTCAAAATTCAATGTAATCAGATTGGGATTTTGATATGATATGCAAAAAACCAAAGCTTTATATATATATATATATATAGATATAGATATAGATATAGATATAGATATACGTTGTGCTCCATAAACCAAGAGAAGTGGGGTAGTATAAATTGCATAATTTTTTAATGGTGGTATGTACGATATATCTGGATAAATCATTCTTCATCATGTTTTCATATGAGCCCTGCACTACACTTTACACCATTTTATGCACTTCGAACGGATCTTGGAATTTTTTTAAGGTGCCATTTTATTTATTTATCTATCTACCTCTGTAGCGCCCGGGAAATTGAAGAAG